CCCCAAAACCCCAAAACCCCAAAACCCCAAACCAATATCAGGGAACTGAAACGATATAAGCTCTGTGTGAATTCTTGTTTAAAATATTAAATATGCCAAAATTCCCTGAGTGTTACGCTGATAAATGCCACCAAACAGCCTCTGTTTATGTGGAGAAGGTGAAGAGTTACTTTTGTGCACACTGCTTCGGCTTAAAATTTAAAGAGAACAAAGGAGAAAGTCTGGTCCGTCCTAATGATGTCACTAAGAAGCTTGAATTAGTGGAAAATGTGCTGAAGATGTATAAAGATTTCGCAGCTGATAAGTATGAAGATGAAGCTAATGAGACAACAATGAACCTATGAGATGAACTGATATGAGAAGTCGAAGGACTCAAAGATGGTCTAACTAAAGCTTTGAAGGATAAACATTTCTTCAAATTTTCTACTTTGAACACAAAAGCTGTAAACATCCAGACAATTCTGGAGGGTAAGAAGACTTTTGCACTCTTCGCTCTCAAGCAATTATGGAGATCTTTCCAAGAGTAAGTTTTCCTGGTTAGCATCTGTCGAGAGTACTATCTCGTTGCTTTCAAAAACAGAAAAGTGTTTCCTTATTGAATTTGTTTATGAGAAAATCTTAAAATAAGATTACACAATCTTACAGTAGTTTTTACAGAAAGATTCGCTCTGATGCTTTCAGTGATGAGCTCTACTAATGAATGGATGCATTATTTTTACTGTGAAAAGATATTTCATTCTCTAACTTTGTTAATTGCTTCTCTATAACTCTGAAGGCTTTGTCTCTCAGAAGTCTCAATTAATAGCTATTTTTGATAAGACTTGTTCTCTGTATCTTCTCATAAATAATTGAGGCCAGCTTGGAAAAGATATTTTTATACTTGTGACTAAGCCAGTTTTGGAATTTCGCTATTTTGTTTGCTGAAAATTGAAAAATTTATTATCCAAACTTTTTTAGGATATTCTGAAGAATGTCTCTCGTACTATATGATTCTTTGTTATCGTTTTAGCAAAAGCTATAAGGTTTAGATAGAATACTTATTTAAAATCTTAGCTTTCAGAGCAATTTTAACAACCTCCATTAGCATAAATTAGCTTATCAACAATCCTCGCTTGTTTTGAAGTTTCTTTATTTATTTGTCCGAAGCCAACTGATCTAAATAGTAGCATCTTGCTACAGGAGAAATCCGAGTTTATCCTCGAAAGAAGAAATGCAAAGATATTTTGTTTTATCCCGATCTCCAGCTACTAACAATCATAGAAATAAACTGAATGCAAAGACTTCTTCTAAAACAGCAACACAATCTTCTAGAGAGGAGAAAAAGCTTCCTGAGGAGGAAGAATTTGAAGAGGAAGAAGAAGAGTTTGAGGAGGAGGAAGAGTTTCGAAATGAGGATATACTCCAAGAGGAGCTGAAGCAAAAAGAACTAATCATTGAAATGCTTGAAGAAGACAACAAGAAATTACGCTATGAGATTGATGAACTTAAGGAACATCTTAACCAAAATGCAATAGCTACTAATACTACCGAGCACCTTCCCCATCCTTCTCAACCCACTCCCTTCTTCACAGACCCCATCCAAGAGACCGAGGCTGAGGTAAGTCCAATCTCTTCATAAAATCTAGCTTCTCGAGAGTACTTTTGGGGACCCCCAAAACTTGTTAGAGAAGGAGATGGAACAAGACCTTGAGTGTAAGCCCCTCCTCTAGTTTAGGCCGAGAGTTTGTAAGAGGCATGCATTGGAGCAAGGAGGTTAGGTTTTGATTACTCCATGAACCAGACAAGAAAGTATTTAACCTAGTGGATCAGGAATCAATGAAACATCTGGAAGAGATTTATATAGAATATGTGAATGAGATTGGAAGAGGTAGGAAGGAAAATGGCTGACTGGTGGGGTTACCTTATCTCTAAAACATTTGAAACAACTCATCTTTCTTGATTTTAACTCTCATTCATAGATGAATTTCACACCTTCGTAACCAAAATACCTGACGAACTGAAGACTTTATACATTGAGTTTAATTACAATGGATACTTCATAAAGCTAGCCCCTTACTTTCCTTCAATCTTGCTCCTTGGATCAAAAATTACAGAGGGAATAATTCTCAGCCTGTGCGCAATAACTGCATCTGAGAAAGAACAACTAGACCAGACCTTCGAAGACATTGGTGTGAGATATGACAGATGCCGGTTTATTATACCGAAGAAGTAAGGATCTAGCTTTAAAGCATTTTAGACAGAGAATAGAGGAGGATTAATGACACTTCATGGAGAGGGATTTTAGGACTTTTAAATGGGTAATTGATTCAATTGTGGTTTATGAGAGGGGTTTTGGGGTTTTGGGGTTTTGGGG